TATTTGTCCTGGTATAGGAGGAGTTATTTTTCCCATCATGACAAGTAAGCTAGTTGACATATACAGCTGGAGGGGCGTGATTCTCATCTACGGTGGTTTGTTGCTGAACTGTTTTCCAGTAGGATATCTTAATTACATTGTTAAGCGTCGATTTTGTAACAAACTAGAACAAACGGCTAATTTAAAGGAGATGTTTAACTGTTCTCTGTTTCGGAAACCATTGTACCTTGTGCTAGTATTCTGCGTGTTTCTGATGAATACTCTTCTACCGACTGTTAATGTTTTCTTTGTGGATATGGTGAGAGGAAAGGGTTTTGATGTAGAAACGGGCTCTTTTCTGCTGTCCATTAATGGTTTCTCGAACGTCGCCGGAAGAATCATCATTATGTTCCTTACGCCATTTTTAAAATGTGCTCGAGTTGGACAGTGGTCTCTGTATTTAAGTATAGTATCGGCAACAGTGTCAGTCTTCGTTATCGCTTCGACCTATTCGGAACTAATGGTGACAACTATTGTGTATGGTTTATTCTGGGGTATGGCCATAGTTTCGTATCCTGTCATGTTATTAGAACTCTCTGGACCAAAGAGATACACGAATGCTATTGGTTATTGTAATTTGATTGGTGGGATTGGTGGAATAATAGGTGGTCCTACAGCAGGCTGGGTTTTTTTTCATTTGAAACCCGTTCGCGTAATCTATTTTGACGGCTATGTTTATGTTTTATTCCGGCGAGAGGGCCAGAAGGGTAACAATCTGTTTTTGCCCGTTTTTATAAGGTTGTGGGGATTTTTTCAGAATTTTCATACCGACTTTTCTACACTGAATATGTCGAATTGCGTGCCCAAAAAATGCCCCAACATTCCACAGTTATCGCATGGCGACGAGAAAAAGGTAGGAGTCGGGAAGATAAACGATCAAGTTTTAAGTATTCTGAACCACTGTTGCATGCTTATCTAAGCCCACTCGTAAAATGCTCATCATCGCACTACCTAGCCAAAACATGCATCTAAAGAACAACTAACAACAAGTTTGAACATTCTACCTCAATTGGAAGCAGACTTACTACTGTATTCCAAATGGTCGGACGGACAGACAGACAAAAGAACAGACAGATTGGCGAACCCTTTTTAATAGTTCCCTTATTTCTACAAAAGACGGGTGGACAAAACCCATTGTTTTAAAGTACACATGTACACTCATTCCGATAGTATTTCATATATTTCAAGTACATGCACTTAAAATTGTTTTTAATTCGTGTATATTTACATGTTGAATCGTCGGACTCCATAGTTCATTGTCGTGTTTGTTAATCATTTATTGCAGGTCTCATCAAAGATATCACAGGAACCTATGACGCGGTATTTTTGGGTACAACTGGACTTGGTATAACCGGAAGTGCTATGTTGGGTGCCATGTACGTCAGAGGAGTTTGTAAGAAGAGAGAAAAACGGCGATAATCCTGAACAATCTGTTTTTTAGCATAAAATTACCGTTTAAAGATACATTAGTTAAGAGTTCAATAGAGAGTTGGCCATTATTGCTATAATAATTCACAAATAGATGACGAAAAAAGAAAATATTGAAAATTTCAGTCAAAATACTTTTATTCTGAACGAAAATGTCACTCTTGGAAGTTTGGATTAGAAATAGGCATCAACTGTCTCCGCACCGTCTCCAAGAATTGCCGATCGTTTGATTGACAGACGGTAACTCCACCCACAAATTCTCGATTATCAAGTAACATTGTCAATGGCTACGGTACGCTCGATTGGCAGGCCTTTCATCGAGTCCCCAGTAGTGACGCCAGTAATTAACGGTATACGTAAGCTTGGTCATCCATTTATTGATTTAATTATTAAATGGACGACTGTTTAAATCCAAGCTGTATCTAAGACATCTGAGAGTCTACATAGTTGATTTTGAGCTTGCCATGTAAATAAAGGTCTAATTAATAATTTCTATAACATCTGAAACCTAAAGAAATACTTGCAATGGGCAGAGATTTGGCTCTTAACTAATGTATCTTTAAATGTATAATTATTAATTAATAATATCGCAATTAGAAAAGTCAAATATATAATCATTAACAAATAAATTATTTATTATTTAGATGTAGACAAATTCTGTTAACAACACAGATCCAGAACACAGTTTCCATGGGTCTATTTCTTGTAGAACACAATATTACTTGGACATCGGCCCTACTACAGCTCACATTGTTTCAAATTTCAACAACCAGTGATGCGTTCCCCAACACTTGAAAGGAATGTACACTGACATGCTTTTTAGGAGGTCTATGGTTTGTGAGTGAGGGTAATGTTAATCTAGTCAGGAGATCTTCATCGCAAAGTATACCAGTCACAGCTATGCCTGAGGATAACCCTTTAAATAATCAACATTTATTCTGAAACGTATACTACACGGGATATATACAAATATCACAACAGCTAATTTATTTATTGTTTTATTTAAAAATGACGACAATGAACATTCATATTAATTAATGTGGGCGTAAACAAATTTAACAGGAAAATAAAAGAATTTAGCCTGTATCGCGTTTCAACAAAGAACCCCCAAAACATAAATAAATAGACAACTACTCTTTATACTCTAATGTTTAATCCCTCTTCAGTTCTATTCCACAGAGAATACCGTGCTGTAAAACATTTACGATGTTTTTTGAATTTGCAATAAAATTGGGTGATATCATCGGTATTTGAGACCGATTCTGAATTTCCATATGGAAAGCTGATCTGTAAAGTGGTCACAAGAAACCATGAACGGATGGGGTGACGAGTAAGTACAACTAGATTGGAATGTAAAACGATATCTCGATGATTATCGGCAAAAAAAGAAAAGGTAAACAATCCAACAGCGAGGCTGATATCCGCCGCCGAAATCCCGAAATAAACAGATGACAGATATTAATTAACTGCACATTTATCTTTTTCAAACGTATCGTGCAATCAAACTGAATATCAACTATACACGAAGTTTCACCACTCTCCATCAGTTAAAATCAAAGTTATCTTGTCCCAAAGCATCGACCTATTGAAATTGCTTAGCTCTGCGTAGCTTTAGCGGTAAATGTAATCACTGAAATCAGTCAAAACATTCACCAAATGAACATATACGTCCAGCTTAAACATTCTACCTCAAAGCAGAGTTGTTATGTTCTAAAGTCTTGATCAATCACATTGCTTACCGCTCCTTTGCCTAATGAGAGAATTTTCATCATCGAACTTAGTCAAGATAATGATAAAATGAATCTATACTGTGAGTTTCATCGCTCTCATGCAATTAGACCCGGAGTTATACGTGTTCCAAAGTCTCAACCACTCAAATTGCTTATCTCTGCTTAGAATTAGTGGTAAATTGCCTGATCAAACTCTGTCGAGGCGTTCAGCTAATAGAAATGAAATGGGTTTAACGTCCTACTGTTCTGCTCCGAACTAGGCTAATGAAGACGGTTCACCTAATATACAAGTTGAACATTCTATGAGAGTTCTTGTGTTCAAAAGTCTTGGCCAATCAGATCGAAGTCTCTGGTTTGTCTAAGCAGAAAATGCTTAGCATCGAACTATCACTCAATTAGAATCAAAGTTGCCGAGCCTCAAAACTCGATCAATCAAATTGCTTATTGCCATGCTTACCCAGAGCCGAAAATGCCCATTATCGAACTTAGTCAAGGTATTGATTTGATAGAACTATACATGAAGTTTCATCACTCTCACTTAATTATAACCAAAGTTATCGTGTCCTAAAGCATCAACCAATGAAATTCTTTTCTCTGATTACCGTAAGCAGACAATGCTCATCTTTAAACTCCTTCACGACATTCACCTAATAAACGCCCACACTACGTGTGAACATTCTAGCACAATTAGAAGGAGAGTTATTGTGTTCCAAAGTCTCGACCAAGCAAATTGCTTATCGCCCTGCTTACCCTAAGCAGAAAATGATCATTATCGAACTAGGTCATGGTATTTATGTAATGAAACTATACACCAAGTTTCATCACTCACTTAATTAGAACTAAAGTTATCGTGTTCCAAAGCATCAATCAATCAAATTGCTTATCTCTGCTTACCCTAAGCAGAAAATACTCATCTTCGAACTTCATCAAGGCAGTGGCCTATTAAACACCTACACCAAGTTTGAACATTCTAGCTTAATTAGAAGGAGAGTTATTGTGTCGCAAAAAGTGTGACGGACAGACAGTCAGACAGACAGGCAGACAAACAGACCCATTTTAGTAGTCCCCTGCTTTCTTCGAAAGGTGGGGTACAAAAACATATTTTCAAGGAAATGACATATTGTCAATTACTATAGAATTAGACTATATATACAAATTGGCAAAATGAAACAAGAAATGTAATCGGTTTATTTTAAGTCATACTTAAAGGACAATATTGGTGCCAGTCATTATCACATGTGATAGAGCTGGTTAAACACCTTCCAAATATAATTTTAACACAGAGGTCATTGCTACGATAGCTAAGTAATACAGGTTTCCTTAATCGGAAGTGACGAACGCCAAAGGAAAACACGAGTCATCCCTCTATATAACTGACTGATGTGACAGATACACGGCAATTTCTGCTCAATAATAATTCCTTCGAAGATCAAAAGTTGTTATATGGGACTGTAACAGGATACCTGACAATTCAATAAAGTAATTGAATGTCATTAGATAAGAGAACACGAGAAAAATAGAAATAGTCCGTACATTCCCTTGTTTTTATTCATTCTATACCTTATAAAAACACGGTAATGCACGGACTTTTTCTTTCGTGTTCTTTTATCTAGTGGCAGTCAATTATTTTTGTGAATTGTCAGATATTCTCTCACAGTCTCACACAACAACTTTTGATCTTGGAAGTTATTATTATTGAGCAGCAATTCGCCCATGTATCTGTTATCACTCGTCACTTCAATCAGTTATATAGAGGGATGACTCGTATTTTCCTTTGGCGTTCGTCACTTCCGATTCAGGAAACTTGTATTACTCAGCTATCGTAGCAATTATCTCTGTGTTAGTATATTTTGTTCAGAGTTTGCTAGAGAACGATTTTCTGGACTAGAAAACGCGTTTGCGGTCGTCCAATTTCCAAAATTTTCCGGGGAAAGACCCCTGGACCACCACCCTAAAAAGTTCACTGCCCCTCCGCAGCCAGCTAGCAGGCTACGGGATTGTTATGTTGGTATCTAATTTAATACGTTATCCTACCATCTTTAGCATGTTTATTTTCGTTCTAATTGTTCAATTCGTTCTTTTAGTTTCCTGTTCTCTTCTTCCAATCTCTGGGCATCTGCTAGTTGTGCCCGCAACTTCTTATTCTCTTCTTTGAAGCGTCTAAGTTTTTCTATTTCCTCTTTCAATTCATGATTTTCTGTCTTAGTATGATTAAGATCGACCTTAAGTCGGATATTTTCTGCTTCAAGTTTGCCGATTTCCCTCTCCAGGTCATCCATAGTCTGTTTCTTTTGACTCGTCAATCCCATCTCCGTCAGTTCATCTGTTAAGTGAAGAAATTAAGCATTCAAAAATCATTGCAAGCAAAGAAAATATATATTACCAGTAAAATCATCGACTACACAAATTAAAGACCCTTCGTTTAGAAACCTTCTTAAAACATTTAGAAAATAAAGATCAGTCCCGAAGATTGATCCTTTCAACCCTCGTCGACGCAGCTGAAGATTAAAGATAAAATTTTCCTGAATAAACAAACCAAAGGGCCCATGTATATATACAAATATTCTAATCTTGTTTGGATTAATGCTTAAAAGAGTACCTGATGAAATCTTTTGGAACGAAAACCCCTCAGGTGAAACGGCATCATCACCGATTTTACCAGATTTTATAGCATCTTCCAAGACACGCCTCAGTTCCTCTTCATTTGATTTACCACCTAATGATATCACATGAAATGATACCTCAACACACCCTTTGCTGTAAACAAATGGAACATACCTTTACTTTGGGAACAAAATGAATGAAACAAAAAAAAAACCCCTCTTACAATCTGTGGTCTGATTTAGAGACAAGCTCATTCTTTATTTAAAAAGATGGGATGGACCACAGACCATATTCGACAGCATGTCTGTTTCCATGAAAAACTTGAATTGCATAATATTTTCATTTTACTACATTTTGAATAATGCTTTAATTTAATAATGCTTTTATGGTTGGGATGAACGTGGGCGCAAATTATTATTTCTGTCCGAATCGTACTTAAAATCCTGTAAATTTATTGTTCAAGCTTCTGCGTCACACTCCCTTGAAATAATTGGATACTGATTGGCAGGCGGTCGTTGTTTAGTGATAACATAAAATCACACACGATAGATATACATGAAAGTTTGATTTAGCGTCAATTACAAATATTTCATCACCTGTCACTGCTTCCGGGCTCTTTAAGATCATTAACCAATGACGTCAATGCCATTAACGATGGATAAATTGCCATACTGGCTCATGCAAATCAAACGACCAACAATCAACAATGGGTACGATAACGAAATGAGTTACTCACGTCAAGTCCCTGACACCGACAATTTGTTCGCCTGGAATTGTTTGGTATAACTTCTCTATGTTCTCTTCAAAGCGTTTAACACACTCTTTATACTCCGGACTCTTCTGATTTTTAATAAAATGGTGTTTCTGATTAGAAAACTTAATCTTTCCTTCATAGAACTCTGGAAATTAAAAGTACAGAAAATGTTTAAGTTTAGGGGTTTATCATTTCATAAAAAAATTGACTAACGATCTATATATTATATCTTTATGAATATACCAGAGACTTTTCATTTTAGGAACCGGTTAGCCGAGTATAGCTGGGCCCAAATAACATTTAGAGTGTTTTTTTTCATCTTCAATTAATGGACTTGTAACATTAAATATCAAGTTCCTTAGAGGACGCGAGGAATATTTTATATCAGCCTAATTTATTTAATGGAATGAAACATTCTTTAGACACTGGCGTCCTGACAACATGTCTTAATGGTAGAACTCAACAATAAAAAAAATCAATACATAAATGTGCTCAATCGCTAAATGCCACTCAAGGATTATACATCAATGTGATAATATATCTTTAAGAATACTGATGAAACCTACCGCACCCAGGTTCTAATTTCTTCATGGCAGAAAAATAGCCATTTTCTTCTAAGCAAATCAAAAACTGCTTATAAACAGATAATGTGCATCTTAAGATAACAAATATCAAAACTTCAGCACAGGCCCTTCTTCCACGGCTGTGTAGGGCAGATTTGAGTGTGCCTACGTCATCTTTGCTAATGACGTGTCTCAAAAGCAGGGATTTCAATAAGTGCTTGGGATCTAGATCCTCCCTAAGGAAATCCAAATGTTGTTGAATTCTATTGTAACACTCTTTAGGCATAACTCCAGTGTGTGGCTGAGAGCCGAATTGGTCCACAACAGCTTCGATTTCCTCTTCATCGTCAAAGCCTAAAATGGAAAATATGAACAGGTACAGACACATTTTGGGGGTGTAACAAAGCACTGCAAAGTGTCCTGTTAGCATGGCATATGTGACCACGTTATTTCTGATCTATGTGATTTATTAAACATAGACAATTCAACAAATATTTACATTAAAGAGAGAGATCCGATCAGTTCTAAATCATAGCTTACTCTGCATTTGACATAAAGTTCTACAAAATATATAATATTGCTTCTAAGTTGAAATCTAAAACAATAATTAGTTTTTATAGAGTTTGGTCAGTGACCAGTTGTTAACCCCTCCATTGTTTAACTTCAATGAATAGTCTATAGCTGACGTAATAGCTATTGGCTGTTATGATTTAAATCTTGAATATTTAACATAAAATATTATTAACTTTAAAATTGAAATCCTTCAAACTGAATTCATTTAAACTCTCGGGACAATAACTATTATATTTCTTCAAAAAATTATGTGTGTGCTATTAAAAGGCGACTAGCCAAGGATGAAATGTTATATGATGCTAATGACATGTTAATTTATTATAAACCCTTATTGTTTATAAAACATTTATATATAGAAAGTAGCTGCCAATATGGCCTGTCTCGTGAACATGCCGATTCTATGATTAATCTATTAATTGTTTTATTTACCATTGTTTTATTCATTAGTCTTTTAGGTTTATCCGATTAGTAGGTACTAGTCGGTTATCCGCGGTCCTGTAAGTGTTTGTACATAATAATTGTTATAAGTTTCCAGTATTAAAGATTTGAAGAACCATTCCACACTCTTGTAATATCCGATGGACCTCTCGGTCACACATGCAATGTTTGTTTCTTTTTAATGTCCAGTCCGTTGAGATGAAGTGGAGAAAACAACCAGCAAATAAAACTGAACGGAATGTCGATATGCCAAATTGTGAAAACAATGGCTCAATTATCTCGTCTGAAAGTTTGAAATCTCAATATTGAGCGACTCGAAAATGATCACCAGATTTGCTTGCGCTACTAAAATGTTCAAAAGTAAGAATAACTTGATAATCGTGACGATCGCTTACTCTCAAAAAATGCCATAGATTATAATGAGATGTGTATCAAGGCATTTGTTATGCGTGAATAAAAACTAAAAGTTTGTATTTCTTTGGGAAAAATTCTAATTGCCTTTCAGGTAGTTCCATAGAACTGGGGAAAAGCTTCTATTATATAAGAGACTGTCACACAGAATTTACCTGCGACGACTACTTTATATCTATTGTATTGATTTTTTACTTCAGTTTAAAAACTTTATTAACGATAGCGAATAAGATAATGGCACATTACCTTGTTGGTGAATACTAGTATATATCCGTCTTTCCACTTTTCTGATCTCCTCTTGCAGATTAGATATTTTTTGTTTTAAAGTGAGATTTTCAGACTTTAACCTTTTATTTTCATCATTTTCTTTATTCAATTCAATCGAACGTTTCTTGATAGGTTCTGTCGGTTTAGGAACGACTTGCTCCGTATTCGCAGCATTCACTTCTTCCCTGATCGGCATCTCGAAAATCTTTGATTTTACTTCCTTTCTGCCGTCGTTCGTGCCTAATTTTGGTGGATTGCTCTCAACTTTAGATTCATGCTTTGATTCAAACGGCCCCTGACTTGCCTTGTCTTGCAATATCTTTATTGACGGGCTTAAACCTCCTTGGTTTAGGTTGTAACCAGGTGTTAAATCAGACATGGTTACAGCTTCTTGCTGCATTTTTAAAATGTTCTGCTGTATAACGTCACTCTTTGAAATTTCTTAATCAGTGATCTAAACGTAAAGAAAATAAGTAAAAAAAAAGCCAAAAAAAACAAAAAAACCCCCAAAAAACAAGCCAACAGTGAGGCTGATGTCCCCCGACGAAATCCCAAAATAAATAGATGAAACATTAATTAATCGCGCATTGATTTTTTTTTCAAAAGTATCGAGCAATCAAACTATACACTCTCTATCCTATAGAATCAAGATTATCTTGTCCCAAAGCATCGACCAATGAAATTGATTAGCTCTGCTTAGCTTCAGCTTGAAATGTTAATCATTGAACTCGGTCAAGACATTCACCTAATGAACATCTACATCAAGTTTAAACATTGTACCTCAATTAAAAGCAGAGTTGTGTTCCAAAGTCTTGATCTATCAAATTGCTTATCGCTCCTTAGCCTAAGCAGAAAATTCTCACCATCGAACTTAGTCAAGGTAATGATATAATGAATCTATATTCGGGGTTTCATGGCTCTCACTTCAAAGTTATCGTGCCCCAAAGCATCAACCAATCAGATTGCTTATCTCTGCTTACTGTAAGCAGACAATGTTCATCATCGAACTCCATCAAGGCATTATTCACCCAATGAACGCCTACACCAAGTTTGAACATTCTACCCCAAAAAGAAGGAGCGTTACTGTGTTCCAAAGTCTCGACCAATCAAATTGATTATCGCTCTGCTTACCCTGCTCATTGTCGAACTTAGTCAAGGTATTGATATAATGAAACTATACATCAAGTTTCATCACTCTCACTTAATTAGAACTAAAGTTATCATGTGCCAAAGCATCAACCAATCAAATTGCTTATCTCTACTTACCCTAAGCTGAGAATGCTCATCTTCGAACTTAGTCAAGGTATTGATGTAATGAAACTATACACCACGTTTCATCACTCTCACTTAATTAGAACTAAAGTTATCGTGTCCCAAAGCATTAACCAATCGCTTATCGCTGCTTACCCTAAGCAGAAAATGGTTATCTTCGTCCTCCATCAAGGCATTGACCTAATAAACACCTAATTGAACATTCTAGCTCAATTAGAAGGAGAGTTATTGTGACGGACAGACAGACAGACAGACGGACGAACCCATTTTAATAGTCCCCTGCTTTCTTCGATAGGCGGGGGACACAAAAAAAACAAACCAAAAAAAAAACAACCCAACAAAGGCCCTGAACATTCTATCAAACTACCCGAATTACGTCAGTAAAGTATCTGGGTCACATCTGCAGTTAATCAGAAGATGCTTAGGCCGCGGTTAATTAATTGTCAGTTTCTCATGACCTGAGTTTGTGAAATATACATGCTACATGCGGTAATTATTAATTATTGAGATGATTTTTTTTTAGTTTAAAGTAGCTTAGTCTCTAACTCAATATCATCCAAAGTCATACACGTTGAAAATACGAATTATTTGTCAATTCAAATCAACATTGATGTTGTGATCTTATCAGGAAAAGACAGGCTTCTGATATCCAATATTTAAGACAAAATAAACATTTTACCATTGGTACACGAATCGTCTACCATAGTGCGTTTTAGCGTCATTTGCAACAAGTGACCAGAAAGAACGAGGCTAGACATATTCAACTGGAGAACCTGCTCAATAGACTCGAATAACCAGACGCTAGAAATTGCTATAGGGTTGAGACACAGGCCGTATTTCGCTGCACATAACTGATTTGAAATTAAGAGTCAAAACGGAAACAATTGAATGTAAATCAGTTTATATACAATCAGATTACATTATTATATGCGTTGCGACCCATTTGGGACAATTCCTAGGTCCCAAATATTAGCGATTTAGCTCCTTTAATGCTGTTTCTATTTCAGCAATAACTAATGTCAGTTACTTGGTCGTTGGAAACCCAACCCAACGGTAACCAGTGTCCGCGATTTCTTCACATTTATTAAATATTTATAGATTAAAATATCCGTTGCACAGTTTCCGGGCACATCGGAAGACTTGATCATAATAAATCAGTTTAAAATATTAGTGATATGCTTCTACCTTCCCAACTTTGACAGGTTACGAAATGACCTGTTCCAAACTGATTAATGATTTGTTCTGACATAAATAATTAAAAGCATACACTTGGAATTTTAAATACAAAATAAGTTAGATTATTTAACAAGTCAGTCAAAGAATTTACTACACACGTGGTCGTTTCTCTAGAGCCGTGAGCGAAGATAGTACCAATGTCATGGAAATAGCCCGTATGTTAATTATCGTCAACTTTGAACACATCTTCAGCAAGAGGCATCATGATAATATAAATACTTTTATTATTTTGTCTATCTTAATCAAACTGTTTACATTTATTTGTATCTCTGTGTCCTTTTGAGACTGTTTATATAGTGTTGTTAATAAAATACCGTGAAGGGCGTGAAGCAGTGTCAACCGGTCGGTATCTCATGATCGAGGCTATCGCATGGCGCCAGTTCTAGGACCGTTGCTAGTCAGTAAATGAAATAATTTAGCAGGAATCAAAAGACATTTATATCTTTCTGTGAATTTTATTACCAATGACAAGTGCCTTATAGAGTATATATGTGGTCTTTGGTGAATGTTGTAGCTAGCATTCCTTGGTATGGATGACAGATATGATACGGCTTTATCACTTCCGTTTTGCGGATGGACTCACATTCACATTCTAGCCTACTTTTAAGTACTTTACTTATCACCTACGGTGTGATGTTCAGCGATAAATAGTGGATTTTAATGCGTCAATTCATTGTTCATATTTAAAGGCAAACAAATATAGTTTTAAAGGACAAATTTTGGACCTCACTAAATTTGACCAAATAATTATGGAAGTGCGTAATTATTACGGAGGAAAACAGACATGCGGGTGGGTCATGAGAAACAAACAATTAATTAACCGCGGCCCCACCGACCTTATAATACATACGCTTGCTTTGTGAACGCTAGAATTATCTAAAGATAGCCACACAAATCCTGGAAATACGCACAAACAGCAGCTAGCAGCCTATCCGAAAGTAAAACTTGGATGTTGATCTTTTATACCTCCAAGAAATCTGATTGACACGGTGAAAAATAGGCTAGCATGCGCCATTGCAGTAACGGATAGAGAGCGAAGCGATATAAATATCCGTTACTAAAGTAACTAGTTGAAGCCTAGGTGACAATCCGCTGTGCGATACGGGTTTTTACACGCACGGGTCGTAGGGTTTCGTATGCAGACCTTCCGCAAAAAAAACGAGATTAAACATCCGTCGCCGAAGGTGGAGGATGGGGGTGTGAGGGGATCATAAGTGCAGATGTCTAGCACTAGAGCCATTCTTCATCTAAATCCGACAATGACGAGAAAGTATTTTCATAATATCATTGTAATCCAATCAAAATGCTCTAGCTACAACTAATATTTCGTGGTTAAGCTACGCCCGCTTCCACATTGTGTGATGTCGCCAACAAGACGCCTTTGCAATAATTTAAACTATATATAAAAGGGACAGACACCAAAGGCTCAACATTTATCTCTGGAAATATTTCCCCATACTACTCCTATCACAGAAATTATCTGCGCGATAAATATGATGTTTGTTTGATCATGCTTATTATGATCATGCAAATATCTAACCTTATAGCAAAGACCTATGATTTGTCTACCCAGATGGGTTCACTTTTCTACATATAAAATCTTAAAATCAAACAAACATATACTTGCCACATTCAACGGTGGTTCTGACACCAGCATAGATCTATTAATCGCAAAACGACCGATATAACTATCAAAATATTTAATATCGTGACCAGGAAAAAGATGGCGTTTACTGAAAAGGGTATTTCCCTTCCTATTTTAAGCGTGTCGAGGCAGCCAATAGGACAGCTTTTAGCCTTCACCTTGAAAATTTTCAAGGGAAATAATTTAAACAACTGGATACAGACCACAAATGCGCTTTGACTACGAAATGAAATGCCTGAAAATATTTATAAATGCCAAGGGGGTGTACTAACCTTAAATTTTCCGCTCCGCCCACCACATACACCCTAATTGACGAAATAAATAATTATGTGGTAAACAACGTGAAAAGGTGTATACTGGATGTGGGCGTGGCCTGCCTATATTTTCGTACGTCGTACAATCGCCATGCTTGTTTTAAAAATTGAAAACAAGTATGGCGATTATGTACGGCGGTAATTTTTTTTTATTTAATTATTTCTGTAGTTTTGTAATCGGAGTTCAGCTTTAATTTAGTAACAGTGCTGATTTATCTACTCGTTCACTACATTTGGCGTCATTCATGGTAAATTGTTTTATATATAATTTACTGTGATATTTTGCTGATCATAATATATTGTTTATCAGCGTTTATGAGAGATAGTGTTAAATAGAGGATATAGTTCTCTTTCGTTTGCTATTTGTCGTGGTCGAAATTTGTATTAAATTATTTATTTCATATATAAAAACCACACAGTTTGCTTGCAATACCAGCGGTTGCCAGGCAGGATACGCCCACATTTTGCAAGAGATGGATAGAGAACAAGCTAAAAACAAACGTGATTTTTTGTACATTCAGGGGCAATTATCCAGAAAGTTATTTCCTGAAATGTGCAAATATCAAAAGGGACAGAGATCTTTGGGATATAAAGATATGTTTTAAGTTTCATCAAAATCTGATAAAAATTGTGACCTCTAGAGGGTCCACAACCATCGTATTACACACTTCTACACAATTTGCGTACAAAGAGCGGCCATTTTGTCGGGCAGTTTCATTTCGATTTTTCCGAAATACTAATTCAACCTTCATTATAGTGGAATGGTGATGTATTTAAAACGGTTTTAAAAATCGGACCTCTAGAGAATCCGCAAGCAAAAAATGCAATTTTTTGAACAATCATGGGCCATAATGCAGGAAGTTAAAGGGACAATAACACTCTTGCTGCCTTGACAGCCCCAGAAAATAAATAATAGTCTTATTCTAAGTATTAGATGTTTAAGTGTCCTACCTGTTGTGTAAATTATCCATTACATCCTATTTTACTTGTCCAGAGGGTTCGAAAATATTTTTAAATCCAAGTCACATTTGAAAAGGTTTACGTTAGGCTTTTCAAATCATTTAGTTGAATTTTTCCAATTTTTTAAATTATGTGTGTTAAGATGAAATTTGTATCATCAATTAATTGGAATATTGTAAAATAGTACAATTTGTTGACCAGAATAAAGATTGGGACATATTATTCAGTTACAACAAGAGTGATATTGAGCCTTTAAGTTCGGGTATCAGCGATTTTCAAAAGGAACCAAGATCTTAGTGTGTAATGGTGATATATTCACACGTTTTTTTTTTAAATCGGATAAAAATTGTGACCTCTACAGGGACTACAAGCTAAAAACGTGATTTTTTTGTTCAATCAAGGGTCATAATTCAGGAAGTTACGATCCGATATGCACGAAAATCGAAATTAACCAATATCTTTGGGTTATAAACATGTTTTTCAAGTTCCATCGAACTCGGATCAAATGTGTGCCCTCTAGAGGGTGCACAACACTGATTTACCAGATGTTTACACTAAGAGGGGCGGTCATTTTGTCCGGCAGTTTTGGCCCGATTTTCACGAAATTCAAACTCAACAAACATTACGGTGTAACGGTGATACATTCGAACGGTTTTTTTTTAAAATCGAATAATAATTGTGACCTCTAGAGGGACCACAAGCTAAAAACGCGATTTTGCATACAATCAGAGGCCATAATTCAGGAAGTTACGATCCGATATGCGCGAATATTGAAAGGGACCGAGATCGTTGGGTTATAAACATGCATTTCAAGTTTCATCAAAATCAGAAGAAAATTGTGACCTCCAGAGAGTCCACAGCCCTGTAACACAATATTTTGACACTATTTGCGAACAAGGGGCGGCCATTTTGTCCGTCAGTTTCGGTCCGATTTTTACGAAATTCGAACTCAACCATCCTTAGGGTTGTAACGATTTTTTAAATCGGATAAAAATTGTGACCTCTATGGGGTCCACAAGCTAAACGAGATTTTTCGTACAATCAGGGGTCATAATTCAGGAAGTTATGGTCCGATATGCGCGACTATCGAAAGGAACCGAGGTTTGTGGGTTATAAACATACGTTTCAAGTTTAAACCAAATTGGATAAAAAATGTGACCTCTACAGTGTTCACAAGCTAAAAACGCGATTTTTCGTACAATCAGGGGCCATAATCCAATAAGTTACAGTCCGATACATGCCAATATCAAAAGGAATCGAGATCTTAGCGTGATAAACCTATATTTCAAGTTTCATTGAAATCGGATAAAAAATGTGATCTATAAAATGTGGGCGTATAATAAAACAGGGTATTATTTATTGATATTCTGAATATATTGAGAGCGCACATCGCTAGGTCCTTAGAATTGTATTACTACGCCAACCCTATGTATATGTTCGGTAGCGTTCAACGTCATTGAGATTTTACGCTTTTTGATTGTCTGAATGTTCACATCGAGTGTAGCATAGTGGAAACTAGTAATACATTTCTTTAATTCTGATTTATATAAAACTATTTTTGTCATCGGTGTTGAATTGACGGTTAATAAATATCAAAGGAACTTTGATCCGTCAATTAATTGATTCAATTAAATTGTTTCAATTAATTCGCGGTCAATGTCCTCCATACACGTTCAGTTTCTTCGTCAATTAATTGATATCAATTACTTGAATTAATTGACCAAAAAATTGAACGTGTATGGGCCGCTTAAGGAACATTAGCAGTGGGAGGTTGGACAGGCGATCCTATACTCCTCGTTAAGCTGGGAATCGAAATCATGCCACTCAAGGCCCCACCCATCCCACATCTGCAGGCATCTAATCTTGGAAATTAGGTTTTACGTCAAACTTTTCTGCACGAAAACGGCTAAAGAAGGCATACGTCATTCAGTGTGCCTTGAAGGAATTTTTCCCTGATAGCGGTGCTACGTTTTACTCGAGGGAAGTGGGGTGGGGTGACTGTCCACCTCTCGTAAACAGATTTTTAATGTTGATTAAATAAATCATTTGACGAATACACTCAAACAGGTAATCTGGCGTGTCTCGTAAAAAAGTCACTCCGGCGGCCATACACGTTAATATTGAACACACTGGTGATTAGCATATGGTCTGTTAATTCATAAATTCGATGTTATATGTGCCACGGTAGATAACAACAAGCGGTTGCCATGCAAGATACACCCACACTTTACAATAGATGGACTGAGAACTGGGGAATTGGGGCCCGCCGCTCAATTTCAAATGTTTCTTGAGGCTCCACAAAACTTTGTACATATCTCGCTTTTTTTCGCAAAAGCATGGGGGCATAACAGAAGGTCCGAAGCGCACCTAACTCAAACTCATAAGATATTTTAGCATCTTAGAGTGATGGGGAGATAACGTTTTGAAAAACTGACTATTAATGGCGCTTTCTAGAGATGACCCTAAGCACCAAACCTCTAGAGAATGAATGCTTCGCTTACTAAATTCTAGACTGAACAAGCGGTTGCCCTGCAAGATATGTCCACATTTTGGATGAGATGGGCAGAGATCAAGCTAATAATATCGATTTTTCATACAATCATGGGCCATAATCCAGGATACTACGGTCCGACATGCGTCAATATCGCAAGGAACCGAGATCTTTGGGATATAAACATATTTCAATCGTCGTCTAAATTGTGACCTGTAGAATGTCCACGAACATACGTCCAGATAGACAGGGACGACGGCGTAATACGTCCAGATAAAAATGTAGGCGTATAAATAGCCCCCAATACCACGTGATTATATTTAATTTCTTTATGGGCCCCGAGCCTGCCATGCCCACAGATTCCTTCTCAGCTCATCCATGCAATGTTATGATAATATATCGAGTTTGTAATACCATAAAAGGTCAATGCTATTGGATTCCTGCGGCAAGATGAGGATGGTTTCAGCGGTCGCAGTGAACCGAAAATTTATATCCATTTGCATCGACCCACATAGTATTCAAAATAATTACTAGTTGACATTTTATTCGAAAGATATCAAACGAATATTTGACTACAATTTCGAATATATCTTTTTATATTCTTTTGATAACCATTGAGTAAAATTCAGAATAATACCTTCGTTAATTGTCTTTTTAGCCCACATTTCTCTGATCTATTTTACTATAACTAAAGCATTGACGCATTTATTCAAAATAGATTTTCTCTTGTGAAACATAAATGTTTATGTTTTAACTGGTTTTTAGTAATTATAATTCCGTCACTAACAATAAATACGAAAGGGCTACGCATTTTTCATGCAAATTAAAAATAATTTTCAATCATTGAGCGAATATGATAGTTACGTGGGCAAGCTTCTAGCAAATAGCAATATCATAGAGAAAACAAAAATAAACGACACGCATAATTAGTCTCTAAAATGTATAATTACACAATCCAATCAGGGTTGCTAGTGTTCACTTTACATGAAAAATGTGCTAAATATCTATTGTAAACCTACACGCCTCTGACGAGGACTGGAACTGCCTTTGCGTGGTTCATAGAATGCTTAGCTAAGCTTCTATTTATAGTTATTGAGGGTATTGGTGTTGCGCACACCACACATCGATATCTATTGTAAACCTACACGCCTCTGACGAGGACTGGAACTGCCTTTGCGTGGTTCATAGAATGCTTAGCTAAGCTTCTATTTATAGTTATTGAGGGTATTGGTGTTGCGCACACCACACATCGATGCATAAGCCATAGAGGATATTTGTCGTTTTAGAGTGAATAACATATTTTATTTCATCGAGAAGCAAGAAAACTAAAACGTTTTCTTGCTTAGATATGAAATAAAATATGTTAT